CCGACCATACTTCAGGGCATGGCGGCTGGCACGCTGCTCTACGTGGTGTTCTTCGAGGTGCTGGCCCGGGAGAGGGCGAACGAGAAGAGCGGCCTGCTGCAGCTCGTCGCGATCATCGTCGGCTTCACGCTGATGCTGGGCCTGCAGATCGTCAGTGAGTGTTTCCCGGAAGACGAGGAGCCGCGCATCGGAGCGTGTCGTCAGCGGCGATACCGACGCCGGATGAGCGCATTATCGTGTCCTTCGCGCCTGCTCGCCCGCCCGCTCGTCTCCCTTCGCGCGATCGCGCGGAGTTCCCGCGTGTCAACTGTGCGCAGGCGAACAAAACGCTCGCGTTCCTTCCCTTCGGTCAAGGGCAAAACCCTTTAATCCCTCGCTCTGAGCCTGAAATCATGTTCTCAGTTCTCGGCTAAGAGCGTTTCGCGCTGCTGGCCCAAGCGGGCTCGCCAGGTTCCAGCTGTTGAGGCAGCGTGGAAAATGTTCTCGTCAAGAGTCGCCTCAAGGCTCGCTGCTACACCTTGATTGTGGTTGATCGAGCCTTTCGGCTTCAACGGGGAAGTTCTCCTCTTCTTCATCGATCTATCGACGAAGGCGAACCTGGACATTTGGATTTTGGCGACTGATGAGGGACCCTTTAGAGTCCCGAGTCCGTCTTCCTCTCGTGGCGACGGGAGGAGGAAAGAGTGTGAGACTATCGCGCATTAAATCTCTCGTGTCCCCCCCCCGTACCTCGCAATGCGGAAGGAAGCGCCTTCTCTTCTAGTTTAATTCGCACGAAACGGTTTCTCGTGGCGACTGCTGAGCTGCTTTTGGCTCAGCTCAGCGGTCGCTCGCTGCTCTCCTGACCTGGCCGCTCGTTCGCCTCGGTGCAAACCTATCACAGGTACGCCCTTGGTGCAGCCCACGTGTGTTATAGCTCTCTCTCGTACTCGGGCCAATCTATCGATCTCGGCCCGCGAAAGCGCCGGCTCCGACGCCCGAAAAGTCAGGGTCAGAGCCGAGCGGGGGGAGGGGGGGAGGGGGGGAGAGGGTCTCGCCGTCGCGTGCAAACAAAGTTGCGTGTCTTCGCCGGGACATTCGAACTCCGAAGAGCTCAATGATAGCGGGAACAGCTGATCTTATCGACTCCGTACAAGCCGAGATGCATCGTAATCGGGGCTTAACGAGAGCGCCGTTCTGCGTGGCAGACGCGTGCGCGCTGAGGAAAACATGTTCGGTGTTTTTGCGCGACTATAATCGCACGGCGGGATATAACGATGGTCAAGCGGGAGGGGGGGGGGAATATTCGCTTGAGCGAGTCTTCTGGTCATCAGCATCAGCGACTCAGGAATTCAACCTCAACGGGGAGATCTCGATAATTAAGACCGAACTTCAACCGGCGTTTCTGTTTTGTTCCGTCAGAAAATTCTTTCATTCAACCAAACGCCTCCTTCATGCAGTCATTGACGGTAATCTCATGTGCGTGCTGCCACAACTGCTTCATCGTCGGATGGAGCAACAAAGAGGCGTCGAAAGAACGCCTCGACAACTTGAGACATTAATCATCTTTTTTCTGCCAACGCGCATCTACACGTAGAAACGAAACATTCGTATTGTTTTCTCTTCTCGATTTTTAATCACACCGTGTATTGGCGCGATTAAAACGCGCCTAGACAATGACGCGACGCGCTATAAGCCGTTGATACAGCGCCGATCAAAGTCGACAAGCGCACGATAAGGAAAACCTCCTAGGATCTCAGGAAAAGGTTTACGCAGCGCGGCAAGTTGATCGCCTCGATGTTCATCGGAAACTTCGGTGAGAGTTGACTTCAAGTCGAACGCCGCGCGTCGCACAGTGTTGTGATACGGGAAATTGATGTTCAAAAAGGTGTACAGCATTCACTTTTCAATCGATTGGGAAGGTTTTTTTTTTTTTTAATGAAGGCGAGCAGATTACCTATAATTCTACCGAGCGATATTTTCGATATCAGGAATCCTAACCAAATCCTTAATAGACAAAGTATGAAGAAATATTGATACATTTTCAAAAGATGATTCTTTCTATTTCCGTCAACGCGCAAACCGTTATATTAATTGCCAAAGTATGAGTCCGTGGATTGTAAATCTTTCACTACTCAACTCGTAAACTCCAAACCTGCAGTGCAAGCTGCAAGCTGCGGCAGCAAGAAACAAGGAGATTCAAAGATTCAGACAGTTGAATACGCGGAAAATTTCCCGAGTAGCAACGAATGAAGATTTATTAATGCATAAGCTATTGATTTCTTCGGATTTATATATCACAAGTGTGAGAAAAGCGTTGGAAGAAAAGCAATACTACTAGGTTGGCAATTATAATGCGCGCTGACAGAAGTAGAAAAACTCATCTTCCGAAAATGTATCAATATTTCACACTTTGTCTATTAAGGATTTGCTTAGGATTCCTGATATCGAAAATATCGCTCGGTAGAATTGTAGATAATCTTTTCTCACCCTTTCATTTTGAAAAAAAAATCGTCCCGATCGGTTGAAAATCAAATGCTGTAGACCCTTTCGAACATCAATTTCCTGTGTCACAACACTGTGCGTCGTCTCGGCCGACGTCAGTGTGCGAATCCTTAATCCGCACGCATATACGATGCGAATGACGAACGGATTACGCGAGTGTCATTTCGCCGAGAAAGTAAGAGGGGAAGTGGGAGAAGTGGACGCTGTAACAACGGTTATCTACGCGGATATGCTACCTGTTATGCAATCTTAATTCCACGCCGACCTTCTCGCGAGAGCACGACCAGCTCGAAAGACGCGGACGCGGCCGCGGCGCTCGCCGAGCTTCGGCCGCGAGAAAACCGCCGGAGAAAAATGTTTGCCCGAGCGAAGGAATTCTGCGCTGAGATATGAATGACATGGAATTAGATGAGTTCCGACTGCGACGGTGCTGCCAGAATTTTGCTCGAGTCGAACGGAAACCTCGACAGAATTCGGCCCGAATTCTCTTCTGACAACTTCGAGCTGAACTTCACTCGGCGAGAAAACCCAATTTTGTGAGACGGGAAGCCCAATCTTTTATTACATCATCTTTCCCCACCGATTAATTTGAACGACTTTTGTCTGAAACATTTTCCGATTTGTCTAATATTTCTTGAGATATTTCAGGAAAACTCGCAAACTCTTTCGAGATTTAACTTACGATATCTCGCTCGAAGATTCTTTCACTCACAAGCAAACTCCCCCCCCCCTTCCCCTGCCCCGTGTAGATTTTCGACAATGTCAGCGCGTGTCGGCGCGGCGTGCAGCCGCGCCGTAAATAACTGGAAGAAAATTTTTATTACAAGGGTGAATGAATGAACGAAAATGATCAGACGAGACCATCGAAGGTGGTGTAACATTTCGAAAAGAAAGAATACGTATTTCTCATTCCAAATACCGAGGCGCAGCGGAAAATCATGATGCCATCAAAATGACTTGAAAATGACGAGAAAAGATGAGACCGAATCATGACGAAAGTAAGAATGAGTTTCCCCTCATCGCTCTGACGTCATTTCGTCGTCATCATAATTTCGACGTCATCATAATTTTCCGTCCCGCCTGCCGTGTAGACGACGTGTTGGTTTATTCAAAAATCACTTACCGCGATATATACGAGAGAGCGCGTTTTACCGCGTCACGTATACCGCACAGATACACGGATAGCAGTGCTCCTTAAGCAGTTAATGGCGCATTTACCTTGTATAAAATACGGGCTCGCGTGTCACTCCTACACGCACAGCGCGGCGCGAGACGTGAACTTTTACACAACTCGCGCCGGCTGCGATGTAATTGGCAAATTGCACGCGGACTCAACCCACTTCTTCTTCGAAGCCGCTCGTTTTCACATACCGCGTCGTCTCTCTGCCAACACAGAGAGAGAGAGAGAGAGAGAGAGAGAGAGAGAGAGAGAGAGCCCAGACAGAACAGAAAATGATGATAACATCAAAATCACGTCAAAATGATGTTTTCTCATCATAATGATAATTCGGTCATTTTCTTGTCATTTTGATGTCATCATGATTTTTTGTTCTACTTGGGAAGGGGGGAGGGAGCAAGAGAGAGAGAGAGAGAGAGAGAAAGACCGAACCGTCACCGGCGTCATTGTCGCCGCGCGACGGCCCGCTCGCGTCTTCGCCGCGAGGACGAATCGATCTCGCGCGAAGAGATCTCGCCGTCGCCGAGGGCTTTCTCTCTCTCTCTCTCTCTCTCCACCCATGGCAATGACCCGGGGACGATCCCCGGCCGACTTTCGAGAGCGCTTTCTCAGCGCGGTGGACGCGGCGTCCGTGACGAAATCGCGGCGGCGGCGGCGGCGCGGCGTCGGCACGCGCGCGAAAGGCGGGAAAGCACGCGACGTTTCCGAGGCTCGCGCTCGTCCCCCTCGGCCCCCTCGATACATCACTGCCGGCTATCTTCCGGCGGGTCCGAAGTACGTCGTTCATCACCGATTAAATACGTCGAACCGATGCTACGATTAATGACCGTCTAACGACGCGCTTGAAGTCGCCCGGCCGCTCTTGCACGACTCTCCGTCAATTCAGCTCTCGGCGGCCCAATGAGAGGCAATTCCTCTCGCGTCTCGATCGGGGATCATCCGCTGGAAGTTCGTCGATCGGTCGGAACAGGAGAAGCCAGGCCCCATCTTCGCGCAGCCTGCTTCCCACGACCGCGTCCTTGGTGTACAAAGACGTCCGTTCGCGCGAACCTCGGGAAGGAAGATCGCGTGGAAGGAAGTAGTCAGGAATGAAATCACCCGGTGATTCCTCCCAATTGCTCCGCCTCGCGCCTCCGGAAGACGCAATCTGCGAGACTCTCCCTTCTTCCTGCAATCGTCTTCCTGCCCTGTCGCGGGCAGGCTGCTCCATCCTCGAGAGCGGCAATAAGCCCAGCTTGAGCCCGGTCATCTGCAAAGTCCCACTACAGTCTTCGCGTGGAGGACCGTCCTCTTCTTACGGGGCCAAGTTTCACCGGCAATTTCCGTTTTCTTCTTGCAGCCGCCCACTCCCACTCACACTCGCACTCGCACGGTGGCCACAGCCACGGGGACCAGCACGAGCACGAGCACGAGCATGAGCATAAGCACGAGCTGAAGAGCCACCACGGCCACTCGCACGCGCACGACGAGACGACGACCGTCCTCACGGACGCGATCGACAAGGTGACGGGGAATCTGGTGGAAGCCTTGTCGAACGTCCTCACGTCGTCCACCACCAGCGCCACTTCCAGCGCAGCGACGCAGCAGCCGAAGGACCTCGTCAACATCACCGACTCGTCCTCGCTTCCGCACAGTTAGGGACAGACCGTCGGGTTCCGCCGACGGGCTTCTGACGGTGCGGAGGAGCCTGCAAAAGGGCAAGTTCGCGGGAAGCTGAAGACGTGGCCATTCAGCGAACTTGTGTCTCTTCTCGATGGCGGCGACGCGGGCATTAGGTGCCTCCGTCAGGACGGACATGGACGGACTTTTATGGACCACCCGCCCGCAACTGCGTGCGCGACACGCCGATCGTGGGGCGGGAGTGCCCGGGGCAGGGGGAACGGAGAGGGGGGGCGGGGGAGGGGCGAGAGGAAAGAAGAAAGAAACGCTGTGAATTCCTCTGACGGTGTTGTATGACTGCTTGGCGACAGACACGCGGACGGTTCCTGGGCCGGAAGGACGAGTCCCGGCAGCTCGGCGTGCTCCCCTTCTCGTCTTTCTTTTCTTCCTCTCGGCGAACGTAAAACGGAGACACTGCTGTTGCCTGCATGACTATTTTCCCGAAGTGCCTTCGAGTAACAACTACCCGTGGCCGCGGGTCTCGCCCGGACCAGGTCCCGCGGGGTCCAGCCGGGGTGGCACCGTGAGGCACGGCCGAGGAGCGGCGGCGACGGCGCGGACGTTCGCACGCAAACGAGAACGGATCCGGAGACGCTCCCTCTCTTTCTCGCCGAGCCGACTCGACTCGGCGCCGGATTTCACGCGCCGCGCGCGCGCGCATTCGTGTGTATAAGCTATTTTAATAAATTATCACAGGGGGCTGCCTTTTTACAAGCACGCTTTGTACTACTCCTTTCTGCCTTTCCTTCGCTGAATCGCGGGGTGACTCGCGCGCCCCCTACACGCCGCGCTTGCAGTCGAGCGACGATGAAGCTCGGAGGCGGCCGGTTGTCCCCGGTTTTTGGTAAGTTAACCGATTAGCTCAATCATACGTCTGTCTTTGGGCAGGTTCTTCCGACTCCTTGATAAGTTAACTGACAGTTAAGTCATGTGTCTGTCTCTGTCTGAATTTGAAACAAAGATAAACATACGATTTAAGTATCAGTTAACTTACCGACAAGTTGGAACAATCTGCCCTATCTTTGTCTAAACTGAAGGAAGAATAAAGACAAACGTATGATTCAACTGTCACTTAACTTACCAAGAAGTTGGAACAACCGGCTCGGAGTGAGGAAACAACAACGAGAGGGACGATATCTATCTATCTATCTATCTCTCTCTCTCTCTCTCTCTCTCTCTCTCTCTCTCTCGCGAGTCGCGTTTCCCTCTCCCCCCGGTCGATCGAGAGAGATCGAGGCGTCGTCGCCGCGTTCGATCGACGAAACTTGACCGTTAATTAGCCGTGATCGATGACACGGCCCGTGGAAATCTGCCGTCGGGTGTTATCGCGAGAGCAATGTTTAAGTACGGGGAGGGGGGCAATAACAATGTTTGACCGCGCGATAACACGCGCTGAGTGTTTTTCCGGACATACGACGCGCGGATAACCGACGTCTCTCGCGTCGACGAAACTATCCTGGATCGTAATTGTTAATTAAAATCCCACTGGCCTTTGCCAGATTGCTTGCTAATCTTGCGTTGATTGATTCCTCTGGAGAATTGCGGGAAGTCGAGCCCGTACGGGGAAAAATGTTTAGCTGAACGAACGAGACTCTCGATTGGAGATAAGATTCCGCTTGAAGTTGTCTTGGCTTCAGTCTGAATTATCCAGATTTCTGACTGACTCGAAGAGAGAACCCCGGCATTTTCAGTCGGAACTTCTGGGTCGTTTATATATTTAAGCGAACATTTTCCCTCGTCTCTCCGCTTGCGCCGGGCCCGAAACGTATTCGAATCTCCGCGCGACTTAAAATCTTCGCGCATTTCCATCGAGTGCTTCCACACGTGTGTGCTTTCGGCGCGACCCGAGCGGATCTTCCGAGCATTCTCCTCCCCGGGAGAGCATCCTGAATTATTCATCGCGGTCTGGCGAGACGCGTGTGCGTTATTCTCGAGAGAGCGAATCACCTGTGTGCGAATCGTGATAAATAAATCGCGGCGGCCGCGTCTCGAAAACTCCTCTGCGGGAATTCGCGCTTCCAGCGAATCACATCGTCGGTTGCGCGACGTCCGAGAGCGGCTGTTGTTGCATGAAAGCATGCCGCGTCGCTATCTGCGACGTGGCGAAACAATAGCGATCGCACCGACGAGGCACGACGAGGCAAGCCGCGCATTCCGCTTGGCAGCGGCCGATCGATGCTCGCATATTTCTCAAACGGCTAGACTTTCGCTCCAGCTTTCCACGATGAAAATGTATCGAGTAGGGCTGCCACTCTTCGGCAGCTCTTCGAAGTTCTGAAACTTCGAATCACTCGAAGCTTCGATATCGCAAGTCAACTTCGAAACTTGGAAGCTTTTTATGCCGAAGCTTCGAAGATATCACTCATCGAAGCTTCGAATATATTTCAAGTTTCGAAGGATGCGGGGCGATTGTTTCCGAGCCTGCGCTTTTTGTTCCTGCATCTCAGTCATATATTCTACACTCCGTGGATAACAAAGGTATCGGCTCGTGATTCGATTGCCGAATTCTCGAAATTTCGAAGTTCGAAGACAGAGACTCGGAAGGTTCGAGAAGCTTCGATCGTCGAATATTTTGTAGCGAAGCTTCGAATAACGAAGACTTCGAAAAAAATTACACCTCTAGTCGACATCCGACCATTCATCGTCGATCCCTTTGCCTCAGATCCTCCCGTCGACATCCTAATCCCGCGCCGCAACCGAAAACCCACGTGGAACCCCCGCAGAGTCAGTCAACTCGCATCTGCGACACTCAGTTTCATCGCGATGAATTGCGGTCGCTGACCCCTCGGAATTTCTGTCAGGGCGGAACCCATTCGTAAAGTGCAAATCTCACTCGCATGGGTGGTTCTGAGACACCGTGTATAATAAAGGCTTTTGTACGGAATATCTCCGGCGTGCGGAACGCTCGCTCTCTCTCTCTCTCTCTCTCTCTCTCTCTCTCTCTCTCTCTCAACGAGATAAATTATCGTATAATTTCAGCGGTTATGGCGACGCATCGGCAGCAATGTGTCGCGCAGGATAAGACCCCAAGGTCCGAGCGTCCTATCAATCGCGTTTATAATTGCGACTAATTTCAGGATGCACTCGGTGGCCGAGGAGCGACGAGCGCGATCTCCGGCGAAAGTCTTGTTTTCGCTCCTCTTCTTTTCCAACGTCACTATCGCGCGCAATAACGAGGCCTCCATTTCATGTTCATTCTCCTCGTTTTATACAATCGAGCAAGTTTAGCGGTGGAACGAGAGAGAGAGAGAGAGAAAGAGAGAGAGAGATCAGCTCGGCGCGTCCTCGAGCCGAGAGTATCAGCGGCGAGTCGTCCGCGTTTGTTTTGCTGCAGCCGCGCGCGCGGCTCCCTCTTATCTGACTCGGTGCTCGCCTTAATCGCACGAGGGTGCAATAGTACGCGTAAATAAACGATAATGGCTTGAAGAAACAAACGCGCGTTTCAGTAACAAGTGGGACGTGCCAGGAGGGGAGACCGACGCTCGTCCGCGGCGTTTGTACTTCTCGCCACGAGAGAGTTCTTCCTCTTCTTACTTCTCTTCTTTTCGAAGAACGCACCGCATCCTCCTCTCGCTCTCGGGCCTTACTTGGTTTCTCCAAACAATGAAAACAAAGTGTACGGGTAGAGTTCGGAAAAGGTAAAGAAATTGACGTTTCGCCTTTTCTTTTTTTTTTCTGCGTTTTCCTCTTGTCGTGCCACACACAATTGTTGCACAATTCGCACGTGTGTATTTATGGTGTTGTTTATCTACATGATGATGCATGTTCTGGCATCCTGTACGAACACTGTACAGCTTACAAAACAGTTTAAGATACATACATACATGTATATACGACGTACGTGTCCTCCGGCTTCCTAAGCGCGCCGGAGGCTTCTTACCGCGGGTCTCTCTCTCTTTCTCTCTCTCTCTCTCTCTCTTTCTAAGTTCGCAGAGCGCGTGCACTTTTTTATCTGGTATTAACGAACGACTCGTATCGTGTGCTGGTAACGACGTTGCACGAGTAACGAGCGATATCGAGAAGATAGAATATTGTTAAGAGTGTTCGTAATGAAAAGAACGGTGTAAAAAAGATTTCCAACGTAAGATCAATCTCGTCGATAACATGTGCGATAATTGAAGTTTTTATTGCTACACTGACTGGTGTATTTCTGTAGTTTTGCAGCCAAGGAATCTCACGCACAGGTGTGAGATTCCTGATTCGAGAGTGTTGAACTCTTTTCTTTTCTTTAAACATAATCATATACATTCTCGATGATCGGTCTCTCCCGAGTCGCGAAGAAGGAAAAGAAAATCGCGCGAGATGTATCAATGTATGATATTCGGAGGTACCACAATGTCTTTCTTACTCTAAAAATTACGACTCCCTTCTGTGTTGTTACTCAGTGGTTATAGTTTCGCAACCTAAGTGTAGATAAAAAAAAAAGAAACAAAAAACCAAAAGCCGAGAGAAACAAGAACCCAAGATACACAGAAGCTTCCTACTTTTTAACTATCTGTCCATCCACAAACTGAAGATAGCTCGTGCTGGCTTTCATGAGCGCCAGTCCGCTGCCGACACCTGCTATCGTGCAGAGGACTGGATTCGGTGGTATTATCGCTCGAAGTACCGCCCATAATAGGACAGATCCAAAGCTCAGCAACACCGCACCGGTGACACTGAAGAAGAAATACAAGAGATAAAGGCATGTCGCTTAAAACATGAGCAGGTAAATATCCAGGGGGAGTCGCACTTCATCAAATCTTTTTAGTTTAAGATATAGGGATTGTAATTGCAAGAAACAATTGCTGAAGTGGAACTATCTCAAGGATATATAACACTGGTTATCGAAATACTACGAGATGAGGATTTTCAGACTTCTTCCGAGGTATCACAAGTTAATTTCGTGAACAATGCAAAGGTTACATATGCGATGCTCATCTCTCGCTTACTTTTTACAGCATATGTAAACTTTATACTGTTTGCAACACTACTTGCATACTAATTCTTGTCATATTTTAGCAACTACCTTTCTTCCTCCATCTTATAGTTGCTCTCGAGGAGATTGTTTTCAGTCATCTAGCCTATAGCATACTTTAACTTCAAATGTATCGACAAGATGTAGCTTTGGCTGACTATTTATCCCCGTGTGTATCCTTGTGAGTGCACACAATTAAATATCTGGATATCAGAATTCTCACCTGTATAGAACTCGCATGCGCTCTGACGCATTTTTCATGTGTTCACGTGTGTAAATGTAGGATCCTGTGCCGAATAAAGTGCCGGCCAATAAGAAATTCGTAATATCCTTCTTTGGGAATACTCTGCAAGCAAAAATGCAACTGGTTTTTCACCGTTCCCCCTTTGTGACTCATAAGATACTATTGGGCGCTAGGGTCGCATGCAGTGTGTGCGAATTATTTCTCTGGCAGTCGAATCTTTAGACGCGCGATTCTCGCAGGAACCTGGTATCCTTGGTCTCTATACGCATTATATTTATATCCCTTCGCATTGCGCCAAAAGTCGTAAATACCATCGATCGAAGGCAAGGATACAAAGTCCGTCGAGCGGCCGACGAGCGAAATCGCCAGCGACGAGCCCTTTCGCCCTAACCTACGACTACGACGATGACGAGGACGTGCGAGAAAATTGCATCGTCGAGTTACGTAATAATACGGTGGGGGACTGGAGACATCGCTGCTGGTTAACATTACCGGGTGCGCCGTGTTAACGGAGGAGAAACTCAGTCTCTGGCTACTCACTTGATCACGAGGCTTGGGTTCATGACATTGACGGACATCGCGACGTACGACGCGGCCCCGCATGCCGGCGCGTAGAATGTCGCGAGGCTGCATTTCGTCACCGGCCGCAGGCCGAGTTTCTGCAACAACGTACCGGCACTGCAAGCGTTCCCCGAGCCGGCCATCTTCGTCGTCTCGTGTCTCGCGTGGAATTGCCTTGTGTGCGTCCCTCACGTAACCGTGGCGCGCCTATGGCGAAGACGCGATATTCTAGAGACGAGCGGTGCGCGCCCGAGAGCGATGAATCGAATCTCGACGTTCGATTTTTCCCCCTCCCTGCCCGAGGGTCGATTCCGTCCTCTCGACGCGTTTAAATCGGCACGTCATTCTTTTGTAGCGCTGGAAGTCTTTTGTTCGCCTCTGCGTGGATTGACCTGCGGCGGTTGGATGTGGTTCCTAGTAACCACGCATATTTTTTGACCGCGGGCACTGCGTACGCGTTGTCCCTGTTTTTCTTTCACTGGAAAATGGCGTATGGACAGAGCTGAATGTAGTCTGGAGCCAGCGAACAACTATCACTACTACTACACTATTTTGTGCGCGCTGGATTGTGGTTGCACACACACGTGTCTGCGTAGACGTGACTTTTTTTCCAGTTAAACGTAGCAAATGTTATGAATAAAGTCCCCCCCCCCCGAGTGACGTGATCCTCGCGCGCGAAAAAGTTTCTTATGCGATGCGCGCGTATCTCTGGCGGGAAAATTTGCTCCTCGGCGAGCCGCGTGACGGCAGATCAGTTTTGCACAACAATTCTCAAAACAGACAAATCTTCTCGCTGGACGAATTTTCTCACACGCGCACGTGCTTCCCCCGAATTATTCCCTCCGAGCTGCTCGTCCCGCTCGGATTTTCACTTTCGCCGATGAGAATTCATTCGATCCACCGGCGAGAGTCAGAAGGACTCTTGCTTGCCGCTGATGAATACAGGCAAGCCGCTTTATTCTACCCGCTGCTCGTGTCGTTAAAGAATAGTTTCTTCCGTCCTATTGTTGAGCGCGGTTACGTGCAAATCAAGATCCACCTGGTTCGGCTGACGGGCCGCCTGGCGCCATCTGTTGGTGTCGCGCGGAAGACTAGTCCCGCGGTTACGCTCGACTTACGGTTGGTGCTTGGGTTCGTTCTTGCCGTTGGTTCCAAAGTGATTAGCGCGGATAACGCGTGGGAAGGACTCGGAGGAGGCATCGAAAGGGTGAGTGCAATCGATTCGGCATCGATTATTAATGATAGCAACGATAATAATTCCAAGTCGTTACTCACTCGTTGTTTCACTGTGCTTTATTGCGGGCTTTATTATTGTTTCGTGTGTTATGTATAAAAATTCACCTCGATATACATAGTCGCATATGTACATTTACCCTTCGATTGGCGGAGAGGGAGGGACTCGTGCCGCGATATGTCGGATATGTCGGCGCGATGTCGATCGAGGTGGTAAAATCGATCTCCATCGTGGGATCCGGCGACGCGATAGTCCCCGCAACCCTCGGCGGCAGCTCGCGCATTTCAATATGACCTTCGATGCTACATAGAAAAATCGCCAAGGTCCCATGGTGTAATGGTTAGCACTCTGGACTCTGAATCCAGCGATCCGAGTTCAAGTCTCGGTGGGACCTCGCTCAATTTTTTTTGGCACGATGCGAACCGCCCCGAGTTCAGCGCTCGTTCGTTCCTCCCCAGCCTCGGGTGATATACTCTGCGTCTTTTTTCTCTCCCGCCTCCCCCCTCTCAGAATCAATCTCATTACGACTAAGCTGAGAACTTCCGCAGGGTGAGCGCGCTCGCAGGCGGGTGCGCTCATTGTTTCGCGTTTTGCAAGAGTTTCTTTTCGGACGATCTGATCTTCAGGAATTTCGCTATCAGGGCGACTATCGTGACGATCGCCCCGAGGAAGGACACGATCCCGAGGATCACCAGCACGACGAACCAATTCTTGAAGGTGCCCATTCTGTTGTCGAAGTTGCAGTTGCAGTTGTCGGTGTCGTTGAGGTTCAGAACCGACAGGTTGACCGGCCTCAGGGAGATCGACTTGTATTTGCCGCGGCCGCGTCTCGCCGTGATGTTCTGCTCCTTTCTGACGAACCTGTAGGATATAGCATAGGTGAATCCCTGACCATCGTAGGACCCTTTGGCGCTGTAGTACTGGATCAATAATTCGTTTCCGCTAGACGTCAAAGGGACTTGGATGTTGTTGATGTCCCAGTGAGACGCGTCGCAGTAGGACCACATCAAGAAGCTGCCGTTCACCTGCGAATTGTTGTCGTCGATTTTATAGGCTCTCTCTCCCCCCTCCCTCTTTGCTCGTCGATCCTTGTCGATTAAAGATTCGGGGAGTAACGCGTTACTTGAGCGATAAGTTCAAATTGAATTCTGCTGCCTTCCTTTACGGTAATTAACTTGGTAACGACGTTAACTTTTTTTATTTATAAATTCTATCGGCAGCCGACGAGTTATTCCTAATTTGATGCTTGAACTAATCATTATTAGTTTATGTTTGCTAGTAGCGCAATTATATGTATATCGTTTCGTCACTTTTGTCATCACTTTGCAAAAGCGAAAGCGAATTCTGCATAAAGTAGAAAAAAATGAATTTCGCGTCGTTCGACGGACGGAAGAAATGACGGAGATTGTAACGGAGGTTTGCTGTTTCTTCGGTATACTCGTGTAACTCGTTACCTTCCAAAAGCAAGCTTTCTCAATCCCGACTGAGGCATAAGAGGAGAATCGACGAGGGCGGCCGCCGCCGGGAGACAATTACCTGCGCGCCGTTGTAAACAGCGATCTCGTTGCCGGGGCAATAATTCAGGCTGAAGTCCCGCCTGGTCTCGGCCGGCTTCTCCGGCGCGAATTCGTTCCTGAGGATCTTTATATGAATGGACACCCTCTCCATGATCCTGCCGAGGAACCTGTACGTGCACACGGTATTCGGCGGGTACCAGCTCCGCGGGGACTTTATGCTCTCCCGGACGCGGCCGGAGCTCCTGTATACGAACTCGCAATTCGCGTGTCTCGCCTCCGGGAGTCGTTCCTCCAGCAGAGTCACCTGAAAGCCGTCGTGCATCACCGTGCCGTCCTGCCGGGCGAGGAATTCCAGGATCACGTTCTTTCCGCGCGAGAACACACGCGGCACTCGGCCAGCGCCGCAAAACTTGCTGATCTCCAGCACCTTGCCGTCCACATTTTCCAGGAGCGCGAGGTAGTCGCCGTTGCACGTGACGTTCCCCGACCAGCGATTTTCCTCGAGGTGCTTGCGCTCCTCCGGCACCTTGCGGGCAAATCAATCGCGATTACAAGGCGCGACGGGACGCGACGACGAAAGGGACGTATCTCTTGAACAGCAATCTTGGACCCGTATTAATGGTCGGCACTTGAGACTCGCCGTCGAGTGAGATACCCAGCTCGGACCCAGCATGTAAATTTTGTAATCGAATCGCGAATAGAGATACAATCGTATCACGTGACTCAACTCTGGCTGGCTCGGAAGCACTCTAAAGTGAAATCCGAGTATCTCGCGTCGCGGAGGGAGGCTTCGAGTGTAAAGACTATTAATTCGGACCTTGATGACTTTAACACGTTCGCCAGCATACATACACACACACACACACACACACACGCGTGCGACGCTCTGATCTCTCGCGAGAGAGCGAGAGGCGTTAGGCTTAGTCTACAACAAATGATTTAAGCTTTAAGAAATTGACCAGTCAAGAAATTGCAGTCGAATATTCTCCTTAACTCTGATTGTGATTGGTCAGTTTCTTAATGCTTAAGGTGCTTGAAGTGCTTATTTAACGTGTTGGGAAGTACCCAATTCCCTAAGGCTAGAAATTACAACTTAAACTGGTACTTCAAGCCTCAAGAAATCTTCATCAAGTCTGAAGAAATTGATCGATCGCAGATAACGTTAAGAAGAATATTCTCGACTACTAATTGGTCAGTTTCTTAAAACTTAAATCATCTATTGTAGGCAAGACCTAACGAGTTACAGCCGGTAGTTTTTCCCTGTGTATCCAGGCGAACTTTGCACGCTCACGTAAAAGTTTCGGCCGCAAAAAATATATAAAATGTTGCATCAAAGAAGAGATCTGCGGGGAAAGTTCCGAACCGCGAGCCTGTCAACTGCGCAATAATAATTGGGTGACGCCCGAAGCACCGACCGAGACGACAACTGTGATAACAACTGCAACTATCTATCCTTTATCTCGAGATCACACCTTCAAACAGTTCTGAAGAGTCACCCCGTGTTATTGTTAGTTCTCCGTCGCTGAAGCAGTGTGCACTTTCGGGACTTGAAAAGGAACAAGTACACATTCGGGATTTGTTGGGGCAGAAAGAGGGAGAGAGCAAGATAACGCGCAGCAATTCAACGACAGAAAAAAGCTTCTCCGAAAGAGACGCATTCATCCGGACGTGAGAGCGCAGACTCGGCTCGCTTTAATCCAAGGTTCCTCCTCTTGCGGGAGAGCTTGCTCGACGAGTCACAGCGAGACAAGTATTAGATGTATGCAAAAGTTTCGGTCTTTTTTTTCAGCTCTTCAATGCAATTATTTTATAATTCGAAATATTGTCCCGCCATTTTGTGTTTTTCTAAGTTGGTATTGAACTTTCTGAAACGCCACTCACTATGACCCACTGGTGTGACCATAACTTAAAAAATGAACAAAATATAAAAGGATCTTTTTGATGTGAATATTTGGGTTTGCTGCGCAATATTTCCTTCAAAAGAACGCACGGAGCAAATGGGGATTCGCGCGCTTCAGCAGCATTTTTTTCCCGCTCAAATTCATTTTTTCAGTATAATTATTTTAATATAATTATTTTAATTTGAAGTATCTTCTCGTCGTGCTGTGTTTTCACAAGTTAAAGGTTAAGTCAAGTATTCACATCAAAAAAGGTACTTTTGTGTATTTTATTCATTTCATTTCAGGTTACGAACACCAACGGATCATGATGAATGACGTCTTGGAGAGTTCAGTGCCAAAACCGTGCAAAAAAAAAACACGAAACGGCGGGAGAATATTTCAATTTACAATAATTACACCACACAGGGCTGAAGAGAAAAATTTTTCTTGCATACATCTGACATACCTTGTCTCACTCGCGCTTATTGCTACCACTTTAATTATTACTTGTACTCACTTGGTATTTATCACTCATCACTCTGTCACTGCTACCAGTCATGCCGCTGCAAGTTACGAGTTACGTACCATCGCGTTATTCGCGGCCATTTCGGCCAGCCTTTCAAAGTCGCCAGCGAGGTGGCGATTCGGCAGCTTCCGCTGGTCCTTTCTCGTAGTCCCCGACTTGAGCCTCGGCCGCGACACGCTCGCGTCAAACTTATTATTATTCGGCGGCTCCTTGCGGTATTGCCTCCCCCGGCGCCGCGCCGCCTTCTTCTCGTAGTGTCTCTGCCTCATTAACCGTTCGCTCGCTTCTTCGCCTCCCCTTCGCGGCCCGGCCGCGGCGGCAGCCTGGCCATTGTTGTCCCTCGGCCAATTGTCCCCGATGCCGATGGCGGGCTCATCCCTCGCATCGGCGCGATCCCGAGCCCTCGCGAGCCTCTCCGCCGAGGACGTTTGGCCGAGGCTCTTCGGCTCGAGCGAGTCCTCGCAGTTCTCTATCCGGCAGCTCTCTTGCTCGCCGTAGTTCATCAAGTCGAACAGGTCTTCCGGTTGACCGCCTATCCTGAAGCGATCGGCGCTCGACTCGAGGGCGACTCTGCATCTGGGAAGCCGGAAACAATCGGCCGCTCAATATTCAATATTCCGCCGCGCGCCCTCGCGAACGGTAATTCGGCGCGTCGCTGGAGACGTTTAAAACTGCGGCGGCCTGTGGCGCAGGAGATAGCTCGATATCCTGTGCGTTTCGCTATTTATTGTATTATTTATTATATAATATTTATTGTTGTATCATATTATCTATTATATTTATTTAGGAGGGAGATGAAAGTCGCGCGCAGGAGCGGCGTAGCAGCGACATTCGAAACATCCCTTAGTTACTTAAAATTGACGTCGCAGCGAATGGCGGAGACTGTCGGTGGGCTCCGGTTCGTCTCCGAGCAGCGTGGTGAATTTCGCGAAGAAACGCGGTAAATTCCGCTCCCTAGAAATTAGACAGCACGTACGAAACGGGAGTGACGAAGGCACGGCGTCGACACGCGAACTTCCGCAGCGATTTTCACCCTGGGCGAAACAGGGCGGTCCACTTCGGAGGGCAATCAACTCGTACATCGGGCGAGTGCAAAAGTCCCGACGGATCTCCCGGAGATATCGCGACGCTGATTCAGGTTTATGGCAGCGCTCGCAAAAATACGGTACGACCGTACCGAAAAAGATAATAGAAAACAATATCGGTCGCTCGGGTAGAGCGAACAAATCGTCGCTCATAAATCCATTCGATTCGCAGCCACCCGATACATAACAATTACAACCCGTAGCGTTACAAAAAAGCAGACCAGAGCACAGGCCGGATGTCGACGGCGAGGACGGCGCGAATCAAGCTAGTCCGAACGGAAGAGAAAAGTTCAGCAGCGCGCGCGGAAGCGCAGCTCGCTCGGTCTCTTCGGATCAGGACGACGCTTGTTTCTGGATAATCTTGTTTTCTAGAAGATCCCCGCCATTGACGTCTGGCTGGAGACGTGGCTCCTTTTTGCAACAGCACTGATCATGGTTTTAACCTGCGAAGCGCCGGTCGTGTCTCTTCGGATCAGGACGACGCTTGTTTCCGGATAATCTTGTTTCCTGAAAGATCTCCGCCATTAACGACTGGCTGCGATCGGCCTTTTGCAACACCACTGATCGTAGTCTTGGACCTGGACCGAAGTAGCGACAGCTTGTTCGCCATATTTTCCTGATTCTCCTGATCGCGAGAATTACTTGTTTCCCAAAAGTTCCAGCGCCAAGAGAACCCGAAGAGACCCGCCCCCGGCAGCCTCGACTCGAATGTCAAACTCATTTGGCGTCACACTAGCGGCACTCAGGATCGCGCGATTCGGCCTTTGACACCCGAGCCGCCGGAGATCGCTCTCTCACCTGATCCCGCGCGGGTACACGCTGGGGTAACCGGGCGAGGTCAGCCTGCAGGAACGCTGCTCATTGCGCATGGTGCACTCGACAGGACACGTGGGCGACGAGGACGCGGAGTAGCCGCGGTGACGCTCGAGCGCCAGGCGCACCGGCAGGATGGAGAACTGCGCGGAGAAGATGACCGGGTTCGTGGAGGCGAAGTGCTCGTCCGAGGACAGGGTGATCGTCAGGTCGGGGCCGCGACGCAGGAATAGCCTGGCAGGCCGGAGGAGACAGATGGAACTTTAATGTAACGGCGCGGCGGCCTGAAATCTCAGCCGGCGCGGCGCACAGTGGAGCCAGATGACATTTTTGGGTTGAAAATTCTCTAGAGACCTGAACTTCCAACCGATCATCGACACCAGGATGGAGGAGGTTGATCCTGAATAAATTCCAAAGAGATCTGTCTAGCCGAAATTTTACAAAAATTATCGGTCCAGGGTTCGTGGGTTCAGGGTTTGTCTTAAAAGTTTATCGTTTAAATCGTACACAGCGTCTTGGGTCTAGCTATGGCTAGATTTTGGGTTCTTGGACTATTTGGGGCTCTTAATATATACGGCTTCATCGGCATCCACGAGCTAGAAAGTTCTCGGACTGATAGATTCCTAGGTTGATGGGCTTAAGACTCCAAATCCCTCGGTTTTGTGCTTAACGGTGTGTCTGTATTTGATGTTTTTGTATTTTGGACATATCAGTTTTGGGTTAATGGGTCCGAGCCATCTGGTTCAAGATCGATAAATCTCAAAGTGTCTGTTGATTGGTTTCATCGTTTCAATCCGCCGAATACGCTATTTGATAGAAATAAGTGTCGAATAATGATTATTTCACAAGGTTTCTCGCGTTTAACGATAATTTTTCCTCTTTTGGGGCTAGTAATTCGAGAAAAAAATTCTTTTTTTATTTTGACAAGACAGATCTCTCCGGAATTTATTCCGGATCAACCTCATCCATTGGTGTCGATGATCGGGTTGGAAATTCAGGTCTCTAGAAAATTTCGAACCAAAGAATGTCATCTGGCCGCACTGAGCGCCGGCCGCGAAGAAGAGGGCATATACCTCGTGGCGTTTCCGGTCACGTGGCCGCAGTATCGACCGGCCTCGTCGTCGGGATCGTCCGGGCCGTCGGACAGCTGGAAGTACGCCCCTTCGCAGCGGGCCTCCTTCAGGAAGCCCACCTGCAGCCTCCGGACCTTCACCTCGATCACCTGCGGAAACAGCCGAGCGGCTCTCGATTTATTCGACTCGCTTGCCCGCTCTCGGGCAAGGGCAGGGGAGGGGGGTACATTCTCTCCAACCTCCCCCTTCCGAGCGGAGGTTCGTCGTCGCGACGAGATAATCGTAAGATATGCCTTAACCTGTGGGTCCCTGAGCGGCGCCCTGATCCGCACGATGCAGCGACCCATCCGTCCCGTCCAGCGGATCCAGCCGACCGAGTTCCTGACGGTGCGATTGCATCCTGCGAATGACAACGCGAGAGCGACGTGTTGTTTAAACTGGGGAAAATGGCGGAGCGGAGTCTCGAACTCGCGTTCAAAACAGAACGGCGCGCGCGCCGGAGGCAACAAGCCCGTTCCGAAATCGCTTTCCCAATTTCCGCCCTTACTTATCTGTGCCGGAAACTTTGATTTTGGTTACAAGATTGGTAGAACTTTGAACCAACTCAGATACCGTAATTGATCAGCTGATCACGCTCGGGCGTCACTAGCCGTTTTACCCTTATAACTTGGCTTTAGCCTAGCATTAATTTGGTATTAATTAATATCAGGTGGACGATAATCAGCTGATCAATCACGGAGCTTATCCAAGTTAGCTTAAGGCCTACCAACCTTACAACCAAAATCGAAGTTTCCGAAACAGATTTCGCAAGAGGCCTAAAAGAGAAAAGTTGCCTTTTAATCGGACGATCTGTTCGTCCGATCGTGCGCGAAATGTGACACACACATGCGCGCGCTCGTGTGTGTGTATGTGTGTCGGTTAAATAATAAAATCTCATATCCCCTTCATTGCAATGAAATCAAAGGAGCACGCGTTGCGCTAATCGCGATCAAAGCGGAGGAGACGCGGATGATACCTCGATGAGACGAAATTCGCGTCGGGCCATCGCGATTTCGTCCGTCGCCCGTCGCGGCACCCTCTTCGGCAAAGGCCCTTCCGTAAAAGCCCTTTGGGTGCGGGGGAGGGGGAGGGGGGAGGGAAAGGGCGACCCAATCGACCTCGCCGAAATGATTTCGCACGGCAAAGGACAAGACACTGTGCGAGGGAAATCGTTAGCGGAACGCCACGGCGCGGTGTTCCCGATGAAAACACGAGCTTATTTATTCAACGACCCTCGACTGCGCGCGGTCTAATGAAATTACTCAGAGTTTACCGGCTAATTAATTGCCATTGATGTAGGCAATCTCACTGAAACGGAGCGTCGTTTGCCGATGCTGTGTCTCGCCTCCGCGCGCACGCCGCACCGCTTCCCGCTTCTCTCCGCTCGGCTATATTTATCGTCTCAATTCTGTCGTGCGTGCGTGCGTGCGTGTGCGTGTCGCGGACACCGCGACGACGTTTGTGCAATACGACGACTCGATCGATCACATCGACATCCACGCTCGACGATGCTCCACGGTCAATATCCGGCCGGCCGCTCTCTTCCAATCGGCCCGATCAGGGCGGATGTTTGTCTTGCAAACCGCGGAAGTGCGTTGCTTCGCGACCGCCCGCTGCTTGGCGCGCGTCACGTCGCGTCCCATTTATTGTTATTAATACCGCCCGTCAATCGCGGTATTTGTTTATCAGCCGCGCCGCCGACCGCTCCTCGAGACAGTTTCTTCCCTTCATTAGCCAGTAGACCAGCAAAGCGCAAAAGAAAGAACAGGCGAAGGGCGAATCGACAGGTCCGAGGATGGATGAGAAAGCTCGAGGCCGCAACAGCAACAGCGATGCTACTTTGCAGTCCGAAAACGTGCGTCGAAAATAACGGACGGTCAATTCTCATCTCGTCGACTCATCCGTCGGACGAAATGGAGCGCAACGCACGAATCCATCTATCCGTGAATTTTCGGCTTATCAGCTCACCTTTTAGGTCCTCCGCCGGTCTTCAGCGTTATCCTATCGACGATCGACTTTAACCCTTTATATCCTGAATTAATTTGTCAAAGATCTTCTTGCTAAATTCCTGTGCAATTAAATACCCTTTGGCATATTATGAATAAATGAGGGATAGGAGAATAAATCTTACGACAATTTAATAATTAAATTCTAAGGTGCTTGCAAGCATCGAGCACGGGAATGCAGCGTAAGGCGCAGAAAAAAAGTTCAAAAACATACGAGCGCCTTTGTGTAATTTTTAGCGCTCACAGCATTTTTGTGTAAATTTTTGTGTTATTAAATAGCATTTTTGGCATATTATGAACATGGATAGGAAAATAAATCTTACGACAATTTAATGATTAAATTTTAAGGTGCTTGCAAGCACCGAGCACGGGAATGCAGCGTAAGGCGCAGAAAAAAAGTTCAAAAACATACGAGCGCCTTTGTGTAATTTTTAGCGCTCACAGCGTTTTTGTGTAAATTTTTGTGTTATTAAATAGCATTTTTGGCATATTATGAACATGAGGGATAGGAGAATAAATCTTACGACAATTTAATGATCAAATTGTAAGGTGCTCGCAAGCACCGAGCACGGGAATGCAGGCAGCATAAGGCACAGAAAAAAAGTTCAAAAACATACGAATGCCTTTGTGTAATTTTTAGCGCTCACAGCGTTTCTTGTATAAATTTTTGTGTAATTAAATAGTTTTTGGCATATTATGAACACGAGGGATAGGAAAATAAATCTTTACACTAATACGACAATTTAATGATTAAATTGTAAGGTGCTCGCAAGCACCGTCAGGAATGCAGGCACAGGAGGCAAAGATGGCACAGAAAAGGAAAAATTCAAACTCATATGAGCGCTTGTACAAAACGGTATTTTTGAGTACCGTCAGGATATAAGGGGTTTAATGCAACCCGACTTATATCATTCGCCGCGTCACCGGAATCGGACACGTTAATACCGCGGCGTCGCAATTCTCGTTCCTACCTGCGTTCTCTTCTTACTTCCAAGGGACGGACGTTCAATGTCCGACCGAGACGATACACGGCGAACGACGCGACGGCTGTTCGTATCGCAGGCGGCGTGACAACGCATACGATTAATTACATCGAGTGTCCTCGGACGGTCGCTGCCGCGCGTATAACGATTTTCTCGTTACGAGGGGCATGAATAGTCATAAACCCGCGGCTCCTTGCGACGCGCATCGACGCGCTATGACGCAAGAAAAGCGCGCGCAGACGACGAGTCTGCGACGAGGCGCGCTCGCTCGCTCGCTCGCGTTTTATCATCGGCATGAAACCGCCGTCGCGATGCGCGTCGGATAAGGGAGCCGCGCGCTCGCTCTGATTTTATTGTCGCCGTAACCGCGACGGAGCGACGTGCGGCCGCAATTTCGCGGCTTGAATTTCAGTCTCTCTCTCTCTCGCGCGCGCGAGGACAACGCGCGTTTAAGACACTCAGCTCGCGACAAACGCAACAGCGCGGAGCGCTCGGCAAATCCGCGCGGAACATTCGCGTAAATGTGTGGCAAATTCGCAGCGGCGAACGGCGCGGCGCGTGCGACATCGCCGGACTGGCTTTGTGGCGCGTCTGGAAAGGGGAATTCGTACGATTAGAGAATATTGGAAAATTACAGAAGAATATTGTACAGCGTAAATCATTACACCGAGCGTAAGGAGATGATGGAAAATATTAGCAACCTCGTGCTGCGAGAACGTCGTTGTTCTCGAGAACAAGACCCCCGCGCGGTCGACGCGGTCCTGCGATTTTTTTCTTTTCTCTTTCTTAACACTTCCACGCAAAGTCTCTCTCAGTGTCTCGTTTCCCGCGGGAATCCCGAGAGCGCGGTTTGTTCGTCGGAATAAAAAAAGCACGCGAGAATCGGAAACAGTTTCCGTGCCGGCGAAACGTGCAAATTGCGCCGACTACGATCTCCAATTACGTCAACCTCGGCGCGGTCGATCTTTTTCTAATTGTCCACGCGTGTAGATGGTGGCTTCCCCCGCGCTCAACACTCGTTGACCCTTGACCCTACGCAAATGTTGTTCCGTTACGAGGCGGATTAGCCGCCGTTCCCGATGGAGTTTTGCTCTCCGGCTCGACCGCTTCATCGAGCTACGCGATTTCCTCCTCGTCTCCAAGCCTCCCCCCTTCCCCCCCGTTCGTATCTCCTTAATCGAATTACTCGCGAGTCATCGAGCGACTCGAATAAAGAAAGAGAGAGAGACTCGCGCGGAGACACAGACGGAGTATCGATTGTCGAAATAATGCATCCCTGTAACAGCGTCCGCCTTCCCGTCGTCGAAAAGCGACGATAAGTACTCTCATCCGACTCCCCCCGCGACTTGAGGGCGACGTCTCGTCTCGGCCGCGCTAATTAACGCAGGAATGTAACAACGTCGGCGAACCTCTGATCTCAGCGGAAGCCCACGAAGGATCATCGAGCGGCAGGATCAGCAGGGAGAGCAGGTACAGAGCAGCTTCCGATCTCATCTTCGCCGCGACGTACGGCGGCGACCTCCTTCACCCCCTGCTTCACGTCCTCTCTGTGCCGCTTCGTCTTCCGGTTTCGCTCATTTTCCGCTCTTTATCGTGAAGACCGTCCGCTCTTTACGAAGGCGATGAGAAGGAGAAAGGGGCGCTTATCATCTGGGAGATAAAAAACGTCGAGACGTCGAGTTGAAAGTTCTTTTCTCTCTTTCTCTGCCTCTTTCTCTGCCTCTCTCTCTGCCTCTCTCTCTGCCTCTCTCTCTGCCTCTCTCTCTCTCTCTCTCTCTCTGTCTCTTTCCCTCACGCACGACGAGTTGCGACAACGCGGCGATAGTTAACCCGTTATTTATCTCACTCCCGATATGAGAGCGCGACAAAATTGAATGTGACTGGTCGGTCGTCGGCAACGGCCGATCTCGAGGATGAGGAATTTGTAGCGCCGCCAAGTCGATCCCCGTAATCTTTCCAATTCGTCTCTTTTCAACCCGCTCGCTTCATACGCTCGCTCCGAGATTCCTGCCACGTATCGCGCCTCTCTTACGGACACGAGGCGGACAAACAACAACGGGCAAAAATAAAAGGCAAGATGAAGCTGAAGGATACTGGATAAAGCGCGCTAGGATATACAACGTAAGCCGGGCGCGAGCTTGCAACTCCGGGGACGTAGCGAAAAATTCCGAAGTTCCCGGAGCCGTCTCGAGGAGACAGGCCGCGACCGGTGATCCCTTCGAAGAAACGGCGTCGGTCTCTAAAAACTTTTCGCTACCACCCCCACCGGGATAACGCGGTCGAACTCCTCCGGGGGAAAAAAAAACAAAGGATAATCGGGTCTTTTTATATTCCGCAGGCCGAAAAGTCCGGAATTAAAGAGAGTCCTTCGGCTATCTGCTTCCACTGGAAGGAGCACGTGTGTGATTCCGAGAGATGCGCGATTATTGCGAGAGAGAGAGAGAGAGAGAGAGAGAGAGAGAGAGAGACAGAGAGAGAGAAAGGGGGAGAGAAAGAGAGAAGGATAGAAAGGGGGGGAGAGAGAGAGAGAGAGGGAGAGAGAGAGAGAGAGAGAGAGAGAGAGAGAGAGAGAGAGAGAGAGACAGAGGGATAGAAAGGGAGAGAATTACGTAGCAGGCAAGGAGAAGCGAGAGCAGCAATGTCGTTGATTTTAGGTTCGTTATAATAATATAGAAGAGAGAGAGAGAGACGCGTATGATATTCCTCCATTAAATCCGCACAAGCCCCCATCACCGTTTTTATTTGTAATTTTGATTAATTTAATCTAAAATTTTCCTTTTAATTAGGACACAACGGTAAAGTGCGGCGTGCGACGTGTGATTAGTTAGCGTGCGCCGCACGAATCGCACTTCCGCCCATCGGAGGATCTCATATGAAATGAAACTGAATCGATCGCGCATTTGTCGAAACACTCGGTCGTTCCGAGAGACGAGTCTCCCGAGGGAAGAAGGACCTCGGGTATCCTCTCTCCCTCTGCTCTCACGGACGTAACGCTTGCACCTTCGATGCTTCGTTTCTCGGAGTTTTACGAGAAGCGGACTATAAATAAGCGAACGGATGAATAAACGATACGTTTATCGCCGACGGGCCGCCGACACACTGAAAGTCGCGCATCTCGATTCTCGATTTCGTCCGAATTTAGCGCGCGCGAGAGAGCGCCGCGAGAGCATTTTCCCACCGAGGTGGCACACGCGGTTCTGGTTATTTTAAGCAATTGTTAAGTGCTCTCGCGGCTACACCGAAAACACATTTACACGCTCGTTGTCTCATCACAGGCCGTGATTCAGCACGGCGCTCCTCCTCCTCTCTCTCTTATCTCGCCGCTTTGTCCACCCTTAATAAATGCAAAGGCCGCTCTCTCGGCGGTCGGCCGTAATAAGTCTCGCTCTCGTAATTAATCGGATCTCGCAATATTTATAAAATGTCTCCCCCCGTCGCCCCCGTTCGCGCGAGTATCGTCGAATTAAACGCGCTCGTTTCCTGTAACACGTTCGGTAATTAAATAGTTAAGCTTTCTCTCTCTCTCTCTCTCCCTCCCTCTCTCTCTCTCTCTCTCTCTCTCGCTCTCTTTCTCCCTGTCCTCCTACCTCTTTATCTCGGAGCGAATCTATTCCGCCGAAGGCTACGCGTTATTTCAGGACGGATCGTCGCGATCGCGTGAAGTTTTAATAGCCGACTATCCGCTCCCGTACCCGCGGCTGATTAAATTATTTAATTACGTCGGAAGAATCGGGCTTTCTACGTAATCAGAGCAGCGATGATATATCAGCGTATCATGTCCGAATAAACTTCTCGGCGCGCGCGCGTGCAAATGTACATATTTCATATGCGCGATTAGATTTACGTATAGTACACATGCACACACATTTACGAGACACACTTGCAGCGCAAAAGAGCGCGCGACTTACCCAGCAGAAGTCCCGGCAGGTTGCCCCTACGACGTTGTCTGCACCCTCTCGATCAGCGAATACCGCACGCTGCGGATCGAAGCGCGACCAGGCGAGAACATCTCGCGCGAACCTGCCGAATTTAAGTCGCGATCGCCGCGGCCGTTCACCCCTCGTGAACGCGGCGGGATTGTTTGATCCGCGATTCAGCGAGTGATCCCTCCGGCGAGGTGTCGGGGATGTGAGGAGAAAAAGACGTGAGACAACGACGACGACGACGACGCGACCGCGAAGCGCACCGGCCGGCGGCCGAATTCTCTCTGCCGGGCGGCGGGCGGAAAACCTTTTCCACGCAGCGCGACACGTAACGCTTTTTATTGCGGGGAGGCACACGTGTCACGCGCGAGATTATTGGCCTTTGTGAGCGAGCTGACAAATGACCCTCCGCATATGGCGCGTCGCGCCCGACTGAGGCCAGATTTTGGTCCAGCAGCGCTCCTCCGCTCCGCGCGCGCGTCTCCCAGCCCTCCGCGTCTCTCCTCCCCCCTCTCTCCACCCCGCTTGCGGGCCGCGCCGTGCTTGCAATATAGCACGCAGGATTCGCGCATCCTTTCGTGCTGTCGTTATCTCGAATCTCGCTCTCGCAGTTTTATCTCGGTGCGGTGTAATATGCTCCTTCTCTTACACGCCTGTGTGTGTGTGTGTGTGTGTGTATATTTGCGTGTCTGTGTGTAATATATTTATCATAAATGAATAAATAAATAAATATATGTATATACAGGGTGTCTGGGATCTTTTGGAAACGAAAGATTGTGAAGATTAATCGGATCAAAGCGAGAAGAAAAGTCGAGTAACATTTTGCAAAAATCGCGATAGTTATTAGTCATCGAAAATGACCACATTTGGAGGCTCTTTTAATTGATAACTTCAAAATTTGCGTGCTTATTTGCAAAATGCTGAAGGACTTTTCCTCTCAGTTTCATCCGATTAATCTTCACAATTTTTCGTTTCCAAAAGATCCCGGACACCCTGTATATATATGATAAATGTATATAATTAATATATGATTATATTAAATTTTATATGCAGTATTTGTAGAGTACACACACATACACACACTAAATGCTGTGTGTGTGTGTGTGTGTGTGTGTGTGTGTGTGTGGGTGTGTGTGTGCGTGAAACTCGCACTCAGTACGGTTGCAATTTAATAAAAAATAAAAGGAGATAATTATGAATTGGTAACTCTTCTAATTTAAGTCGCACCCGATTTTTCCGCAAGACGGACGACAAAGAGAGAGAGAAAGAGAAAGTATGCGTGTGTGTGTGTATGTGTGTGTGTGTGTGTGTGCGTGTCGTGTATAACCAGCAACCGAACTCGCTGGAAAGTTTCTGCAGAATCGCCCCCGCGGGACTCATGTGACCGAGGTTCTCTCTCTCTGTCTAATACACTTTAAAGACATCACAAACGGAAATCGCGAAAGGGGCAATCTCGAAAGGTGCCGTTTAATTCAAGGGAGATCTTCGTATTTCCGCGGAGTAGATTGGTTTTTCCGGGGTAGCGGGAAATGTGCTGCGCGTATGCGCAGCTTAAAAGAGAGGGAAATTCACGCGCGCGCGCGAGAGAGAGAGAGAGAGAGAGAGAGAGATGTGAGCGAACGTAATGTTTCAGTCGCGATTGATCCCGCGACGAGAATTAAAATTAACGGACGGTAATTAAGAGGAGCCGGAGGGAAATTCGAGAAATATTCCCAGACCCGGTCGATCGCGCGAGGATCGGCGCGGTTCTCAGGCTCACGCAACGCGTGAGTCCTGCTCCTGCCGTCCTGCCATGCCTGTGGACTCTCGCTCTCGTGCTGTCCTCGTCTCGATAACGTAATTGCCATCGATCTTTCTCTCAGTTTCGTCCGCCCCGCGTTTAGCTTGGCTAAAATAAACCCGGGGCTCATCGAGGCGAGCGGGAAAAGAGGCGCGCGCGCGCGCGAATCGCAGAAAGAGAGAAAGAGAAAAAAAGAGAGAGAGAGACAGAGAGAGAGAGAGAGAGCTCGACTCGCCTCGCTGCGCGGCCGACAAGTATCTCACCCGGAGAAAAAGCCCGGACACGTGCGAAGGGACCGTCGAACTCGTCGCGAAGCTCAAAACTTCGGATCGTCTCGTCGGATCCCGCCGAGTCTCCTCCCGCCCGCAAGCCCGCAAGCCCGCTTGCTTATCCCGCTCACGTACACGAGGGTGGTTGTTTTGGCGATGAGGGTAGCCGGGATTCGCGCTGGGTGCTCACGGCAAAATACGAGATCCGAATTATTGGGACGCTCCTTCAAAACCACCGCGATTTCCAAGTGCGACACGTATGAGCTCGATATATCTCGCCGGCCGATGTATGCCAAGAACGTATTTCCTTTCGTCAGGCTTGTCATACGGAACGACGGCGAGCGGGGACGGGGACGGGGACGGGGACGGGAGGGGGGAATAAAAAGGGAGGGAAATACAGGCTCGTTAGGGAGACACCGCGGGGCGAAGGGCCGGATTTCCCGCTGCGACGGCAGCGTGATAACACTCGCGGACCGGTCGATCCGCCGCGCCGCACAAGCGCATTACCTGATTAATAATTATCCGCGCGGATAAAACTACGGCAATTGCCATTTCGCGACTGAGCAGTCGCGAGCGATTATCTACTCGCGCGATGGCGATCGCGCCCCGAGGCCGAGGGATCCTGTTGTTTCGCATAAACGCCCGCTCATTTCCCGCGGAGAATACGCGCGTGTGTGATGACACCCTCCCGCGCCCTCCCGCCGCCCTGCCTCGCGCGCCAGTTGTAGAATCATCGTCATCATTGGCGGGATTCCGGGTGTATCGAGCGCAGGACAAAAGTGGCTTGTACCCGTCGCTACGCGTACAAAGAGCAGCGAGGGATCGCGCGAGACACCCCACAAAATTCCAACTGCAATAAATTATATTCGAGGCACGTGCCAGTCGTAGGGGTGAGCGCGCGCGCTCGCGCGTGTGTGCGCGCGCGCTCGCGCGTGTGTGCGTGCGTTGCACCAAATGGCACTTTCATTGCACTTGGCCCTTTGGTCTTTGCATCTCACCCCTGAGTTTCGTCAGGCCTCGAATTTACAGCGCGCGCTTCTTCTCGCGCGCTCGCGTCCTCCCCTTCTCCCTCGTCGCTTCTTATTTCCTCGGACTCGACTCGAATACACACGGGGACGTGTGTTTCTCTTATTTGGCGGGAGGGAAGGAGGAGGGGAGGATAAACTTTGGAGATAAAAAATGACGGTGAGAAGGATATGCGAGGGGGGGAGGCCCCTCCTGTTGTCGGGCAGATTTACGTCAGCTACGTGTGCGACGATCGTTGGGTCAAGATAGCGAAACAGCCGGGCGTCGTTAACTTATTACCGGCTGGAAATAATGCGCCAAGTTGTGGAAGCGTCGTTACTCCCAGGCACCGCGCCGGGCCGGGCGCCGCGACCTCAGCCTCGTGTCTCATCGCGGTGCGGTTGACGTTTAATTCAAAATCTCGCCTTCCCCTTTCGCTCGGGGCGCCATGACTCAAGGCTTTCACGCCTTGGCCGACGCCGTTCGCACGCTCATAAATCTCGGAAAACTTGCCGGTGGCTACGAGCTAACCACCCACCAATTAGCATCCCGGATTCGGGGGGTGCGGGCCAAAGTTGTCGATTTCCCCATTGTCGCGACAGCGACGCGCTCACGCAGCAGCCGCGAGTCTCTCCAGCCGGGGACTAATCTTAATAACAGATTCTTCCGACGAAAGTGTGCGGGCGATTTTCTCGGAGGAAAGCCCGAGGGGCTGCGCGCACTAACCGCAACACCAACCGCGGCGGGTGATATCCTCCTCGAGCGTATCCTTGATATCGAGCTTCGATTTGCTTAAAATTTAATATTCCGAATTTCTGGGTTTTATATACGAGTCTGCGATTAATTTCATCGCTGCAGCTTTGCTATTTTTCTACTCTGAATTCCTGAATTCCTTCGTGGGCGAAATCTTACTTACGAGGTTGTTGTGGAAATATATCGTCGCAAGGGTGAGTCAAATTTTCGGCGACTTCTTCGTATTTATTCTAAATTCCGGGTGAAAATTTCAGTCAGTTGTAAGGAATTTTCGTTGTGAATCAGTGAAGTGTGTGGCATAAATTTGGACGACTACTCGGTTGTCACTTTATTCCTCAGGGCAGAATTTCGCTGGGAGAAATCTCGAGGATTCGAGGAATTTTTCCTAATTTTTCACACGAGGTATGCATCACACGCGTCGGCAATGCCCGGGATAATTTGTACCTGTTGGAAATCGTAGCGGCCAACAACTCGTAACGAATGTCCGGGGGACGAGTGGCAAATGGTCGGCTGCAAAACAGCGAGAGCTCCCCGTGGGCTCATCCTCGACAATGGCCGTCTGCAAAAACATTAATCACAAGTCGCCCGGTGTTTGTATTGTCTATTTCATGCTCCTACGCACTTTGTCATCGATAGATCGTCGGCAAATAGTTTCGCGTTCGGAGCTCACGCCAGATTTCCAATCGACCGTACATTGAAATGAGTCGAGCCGGAACGCGGAGATAGTAGAATATCGATCGAAAACGGAAATTAGCGACGTGAAGCAGAAAAATTTGAAAAGCCGCCAGCTCCCAAGCAGAAGAGATTTCTCTCTTCTTGAAGAGAATCATTGACTTTATACTAATTATCTTCTATATTTATTCAACGATAAACGCTTTCTCGCTAATACTCGTTGGCTCGTATGTTAATATATAAAGAAACAAAACTACGACCGTAGTAAAAGGGGAGATGAAGACGAACTCTCTCGCTGAATGTATCATGATTCTTACCATGTTCAACATGGGACGTAATTCTGATCCCTCCCTTTTTTTTCATCGCGACTGATGAAACGAAAGCGCGAAACATTAGTCTGTGTTAGGCCCGCTATGTGTAAATGAATCGTCTGGACGCATCAATAGCTGTGTGACGACTCGTAGCGGATAATTGTGGAACCAACGGATGGCAGACGGCCCACCCAGTGCCATCTAACGGTACCGTGATGCACCCGTCAGGCGAGGAGAGAGAGAAAGCAGGCAAGAGGTACATGAAGACTTGTAATTACATTCTTGCAATTTCCTTGTTTTATTTATTTACACGTTTCCTCTTCACTAGAGTCTGCAATTCTGCGATTCTCCCCTTTAATCTTCTGACTTTTTGTTGCAGGGTCTTTATGACCACCTTCTGCCGTGTGATCTTGCCCATCGCTACTTCCCAGTAGATTTTGGCTTGCACCGGCGAAGTGGAGATCTCTTCCCAACTAACGTCGTACAGGTGTTTCTTGCATCTGTTTCTAGGCTCATTTCGGTCAGGCAAAGAAGGTAATAACCTGTTACGACAGGTTAATCATTTCCTTATGTTGTGTTAATGTCGCTTAGTATTTATTGACATGCATTGTTAAAATACGATATTGAATTATTCACCTTTCAGGTACCTGTAGCT